TCGGCAGCGGGCAGGCTTTGGAGCAGGAGCCCTGGCCGCCGTTCTTGTTTGTTTTCTTGCTTTCATCTTCCGGGCAAGGGCAGTGGCAGTGCCTCCTAGTCCGGCTGCAGCGGGGTGCCCCGGTGGCTCAGGCCGCGGACGGTGTGTTGCTGTCAGAGTGAGGATGCTCAGGTTGGGAGGGTGCAGGGGGCGGGCAGCTGTTGGCTTAATTCGTGAGCATAGCCATCAGATAGTGATAACTTTCTGTCTTGTGCCTGCTTTCCTGTCCTGAATATTTCACGGTTCCCTGACCTGGCCAATACTTGCAGATGATCAGTCTTTCTACCTCGGTAATCTGCTTTAGCAAAGGAACTTTCGTGTGTCTGTCTCCTGAATTCTTCAGTACATCATCCTGCCAGTTAACCAGATTCAACCATTTTTAGTCTCTTTGTTTAACCGCCCCCCCACGTATGTTACCCGGTGATTACTAGCCTGTAGATTGTTAATATCTTACGCTTTACCTAAAACAAAAATGATTGTAAGTCTGCGTGGATAAAATGTAGTCATGTTCACTTTTTAAAAACAGGTATCTGATGAGAGTAATGGCTTTGAAAGATCAGTTCCCTCTTATATTTTTTCCTTAGGTTGTTTTAGTCGCTACACCTAGAGGTAAGCTTTTTGTAAGGCTCTCTTATGGTTGCTTTCATTGTTTACTGAAGAAGAGCTTACTGTGCTGCTCTGTACCAGACAAAAATAAATAAAATACTGTCTGAAGTACAAGGTAAAAAACTGAAAAGATCTGCAATTACTCAGTTACTGTGGTCTTGTGTGGTAAAATCATTCCTCACAGGAATGAAAAATGCCTTTAGTTTGGACTTCAGTTAAGTAAAACAAACCTGCAATGCTAACATTGTTCTGGCCATGCAGTGATAGATGAGCTTTGCATCCCAAGCATTAAAAGAATTTTCTCTTATTGTCTTATTTCTCAAGTTTCATAATAAACTTAATTATTTTTAAATCCTTCCTTGCTATTACTGAAGAGTCAAGCAAAGACCTTGCAGCATTAGCGTTCTGTTCCCCAGTTTGATGCCATGTGCCAAACTTCTAAACGCTTCACTTGAAGATAGTAATTTGTCATTTACTTTTTAGGTCTCACTTCTTTGGCAGACTTTGTGATGGGGATAAAAGCTTTAATCTTTATTTTTATTTGTCATTTTAGAAAGTATATTTGTTTAGTATTCTTCAAAATAACAAAGGTTACAGAAAACTTAGAGCTTAACAGCTCCCCAACTCTGGTATGATTTTTTTTCCACGTGTCCTAAGAAATTGCTGAATTCCAGTGCATTCTAATACAGTCTTGAATTTTTTTAACCAGCTTTCCTTTTCTGAGGAGCCTTGTGTCAAGTCTGAAGCCTTTTTATCTTCTGCATGATTTTTACAGCAGACCTGCCTGCGTTGGAGATTTGTGTCAAGGTCTTTCATTTTTCAGTACAGCTACATTGACGTTCTGCAGTAAGAGATGCAAGAATGTTTATCTGGAACTTAATTGCTGAGCTAGTTGCTAGAGGTATTTATGTGGTCTTTGAGGAAGGGGAACCCTATTAAGATCACTTCTAGTGATGTCAGGGGAAATTAATTCTAGCCAAACGCTACTTTGAATAAGCACTTCAAGTTTGGACTACCTCACTTGATTTAGTGTTAGTTCACTATGCACATAAAGTGGAAGTCCTGCTTATTAATGTTTCTAGATGGAAGGCTGTTCATATTTCAAGCTTGTTCTAAACTGTTGCTTAAATTTCTTGAGTTGCTAGTTTCTCACATTCATCTGTGCCTTTATTAAACTTCCAGTGGAAGAATATTCAGCTCATTAGGTTCTGGAAAGGCTGTACCTGTGTACCATCAGGTCTGTACTGCGGGAAGATCTGCGCTGTGTTGCTGTTGAGACTTGCTCAGAAAGCCCTTTTAAAAAGGACTATTTCCTTGGCTGAGTTTTTTCTGAATCTCCCTATTTGAACCCTTTAAGTTCGGAACCTGTTTGTTGTTGGGCTTTTTTAGCATTGGTACTTTGAAATTGTATTTTATATGGCTTTGACCTATTAAAATATTTGCCTGTTTCTTTACATAACTCTGACTAGCCAGTAACTGTCAAATTAAAAAAAGATGGGATCTTATTACATTGAAAGGTCAGCACTTATGGATTATGTACAGAATCCATGCTTTTTATGGAAAACCTACATATCAGAATATAAAACTGCAACTTGAACTGAAAATAGTGAATATAGTTGCCATAAATTGTTAGCAAAGTATAGGTGAAAATAAAATGAAACCAGGCACGAAGCAGAAGATACACATAAGACAGGGTAGTAGATGGTTGTATGCAAACAAACTCAGAAGTCATAACTTGAATCCTGTATTAATGCAACACTAAAACTGCATGACTAAATAGTCAAACAGAAAGCAGTGTGAAAGTTAAGAAAAATGGGGGGGATTGATATGTATTTGTAGTAATAGAGGTAGTGCATGACCCTCTCTAATGACAGTCCATACAGGGTGCCCCAGAGGGGGCTACATGGTTGAAAGTGACCTTTGCTTTGCTGCTTGTTTGTGTGTTTGTTGCCATTTAGGTTAATGACACGTGCTTTCCTGCCATGCTAATTTATCCTGTTGCTGAGAAATCCTGTGGTCTTAGGGTAACTTTTCTTAATGAGGCATACGCAAATAAGCAAAATTTTTCCTCAGAAGGAGGAGACTAAGAAAAGAGAACAAAAGTAATCGGAAGTGTAAAGTTCAAGAAGATGGATATTTGCTTCTAGTGAAATACGATGACGTGTGAAATAATGAACAGTAGTGAAAAAGCTCTCCGAACAGATGAAGGTACTACTTGGAAAAAAGCAATGCACTTTAAGGATGAAGGAAAGTCTTTGTGAATAGGCTATGTATGAAAGAGTCATGTTCCCCACCCATCCCCAAAACTCTGTAACTAATACCCCCTAAGGATTAGTCGTCTACAGAAGAATAGTAGCCATTGCTCCTCAGATGAAAATGAAACCCTTCCGACTATATGTCCTTACGGTTCACAGTTATGCTTTTAGCTGTCTGGTATGTTACAGGTGGTTTGCACTTTTCTCTGAAAATTACCAGCTCCTGATACAAGATGTGACACTAGTTTAGATGTGAGTGCCCCACGGAGTGTGCTTAGGTATGTGTAGAAGTGAAGGATACAAGTGGACGCAGCAGCTCCCTGTGCTATAAAGCATGCAGTTTGGGTTAGTGGAGTAATTCATGTGGGAAAATGACACTATTGCAAAAAAGAAAAGTCTCAGGGTGCTGATTTAACTGTTTGCAGCTGTGGGCTCTCTAGATCTGTTGCAAGGGGGAGAGGAGGAGCACACATATCTGGATGCAGCGAGTGGGAGCTCACAGGTAGATCAGGTTGAGCATAATGTGCTGCACCCTAAGGGAGGTTAATGCTTTTCTAAATCTGTGATATCCAAACACTTTGCTGTTGCAAACTGGAGTTGCTCCAGACTGCAGGAAGTTGTGTTTGTTAATTTTAATGTAGTTTATCTACTTTTAGGATGTATTGGGTTAACAACTCAAATCTGAATTTCTGTAACCTGCATGAAACCTTAAAGCTTGCACTGACATGGACAAACCTTTTTGTATGCGAATTTGTTAGGCCATATTGGAGGGGGGTGTGTGTTGTGTTTTTTTGTTTGTGTTTAAAGACTGGTTGGAGAATCAAATGAATAATATAAAAACAATGAAAACTGAAAGCTGGAGTAGCTGAAGGATAGAAGACCTTTCATCTTTTTTGACAAGCATTTCACTTGCACTGCTTGACAGTTTAAATTCCCAGATGTCAGATGAGGATTGAGCAAAGTCCAGTTCTCTAGGCCTTCAGTAAAAGTGGGAAGGAAATGTGTGCTATTTCTAATATTTTTAAATTAAAAGAAATCATTAAAGTTGCAAAGATATTTTGGAATATAAGTCTTCAAGCAGCAAAAATTAGAGTCAGTTTGCTTGTGCTGTGGCAATGATTGGTCATAAGAGAAATGAGAGTTCATTCCTGTGTTTACTCAGTCTCTTTGCACTGTCTTCAAAAGATTAAAGTGATGTTCCAACATCTCTGCAAGATGCTAGTAGTTGTTAGCAAGCTGTATGTTCAGGAACAAAACACACTTTTCAGATAGGAAACTCTTCCCCATCTTGAAGCAGCTTCCCCACCTCTAAGAATTACTTCCCTTTTTCCTGTCATCATGACACAGCTGAGGTTATGGACAAAAGTGAGCTGTTGCTGTTGAATGCGCTGTTCCTTCTCACATTGTTATGAAGAAGTTGCTGGATTTTAAGTATTTCCAAGTGGTTTTTCTCTACATCTTCTATGGCCCTGGCAAGATGCATGAAAACTGAAGATTCAGAATAGACTGAGATATCTAATCTGCATTTGACTGTAGAAGCAGTGGTGCCAGGTGCTACTATGCTGCTTCTCCTACAGAAGCCTGCCACTGTGTGCGTATATATAATATACACATTGAGAGTTGTACAAGCATTGCAAATAGCAAAATTTTTTCCTTTGAGTAGGCACACGCTTTTACTCTGTGTTCAAAAACAACCAATTAATAGTACCGAGTAACTCCACATTGTAAGACAAAATATGGTTTGATGTAATGTAGTTGGTTTTTTTAAACTAAAAACCTATTTAAACTGGAAATATAGCTTGTTCTTCATTAGTTTGCATCTCTTCCTCTTGCATCTCAAATAAGATATTCCTAATTAGCGGGGAGCTGTGCTTAGAATTATTTCGGATATCTGAGAGATTGAACTAATGTGGTTACACAATACACTTTTATGAATACATTAGTGATAGCTGTCAACTGAATGATCTAGCTAAAGAAGTCTTGTTTGTCTTTTTTTGAACAGATTACGGATGTAGCAGCACAAAATGCATCTCTTAATGTGATGACAGAGGTAGCAACCTGCTGAGACAGTGGCTCGTTCTGTAGTGCTCCAAACCAATTTGTTTTCCAACATTTGCAAAGTCACATATAACAATTTTTCTAGCTACATAGTTGCCTGCAGAAGTTCAGTATTAACTGACTTAATAATGAGCATTTTATTAATACTGTCATTATTATCTGGAGGTATCTTCATAAATTTTTTGTGGAAGTGTTCATCCATGTGCTTGATGCATTGTTGTACCTGAATGCGCAGTGTGTAAACAAAACAGATCTTTTCAGACTCAAAAGCTATAAATGCAGAATACTTTCATCAGTGATACATGTTAGTGTTATAATCACCCACCTACTCCCAAAATTGTATAGACAATACAGAACGTTACTGTGTGCTTCTGTGGAGCGTTTACCTTCTGTGACTTGTTCTAAACCTACGATCACTTTTTACTTGTGGTATAGGGAGGTAAGGCAATGTTTCAAAACTATTGAAAGAGGATTTTTCTGGAGCCGTTCTGCTCCAAGAAATGTGTGACCTAAAGACTTGTTTTCTTGCTCCCACACTTTCAGAAGAAGGATTTGGTTTCAGTCCTTCAACGGTCTTTGCGAATTGTTGTATTTCTAAATGTATGCAGCAAGGTGATAGGATAGGAAACTTCTGGAAAAGGAAGAAAGTAGGAAACATTGGAACATGAAGCACTGTTCTTGGCCAGAAAGTGTAGTGAAGGTTATAGCAGGATTTGTAGCCATGCTTCCCAAATTTATATGACCTGTTCTTTTTTTATTATTCTTTTTTTAAATGCTTCTTTCCTCTAATGAAATTTTACTGGTGGTTGCTCAGGAAGTAAGATCTGTTCAAGGATTTTAACCAAGGAAAGATGAAAAAGTCTTCTGCACATTTTTATTTTATATGAAATTACTTATTTTTTAGTAACTGAAGTGATTATATAGTTGCATAGTCTTATTAACCTTGGAAAACATGAAACTGCAGTAGGCACTGATTATTAAGAAACTGAAGTAGAAATGTAAGTATTTAATCTTTAAAACTGAAGAAGGACAAATCTAGGTTTTTCTAGGGAAATGGACACTTTTGTTATCCGGGAAAACAAAGTTTAAAAACTGATTTTTTTTTTTTTTTCTTCTTGGTGGAACTCTTTGCGGGTGTTACAAGCTAGGAACTGCAACGTTCAGAATAATGCCTGATATCTCTGGAGAAAGTTGGCAACATAGACACTTGTAGATAGGCTTGGAAGTGGTAACAGGCTGTATTTGAAATATTTGTACTTTCAGTGAAAGGAATACTCAAAATTTAAGAGCAAACTGTGGAAGTGCCAAACTATACTGGAAAAAACGCCAGGAGTCCGTGTACTTGTAAAGCTAGATTTTTCACGAGGGTAAGGTGATGGGAGTCAAGCTTCACTGGAAAAAGTAGCACTCGCAAGCCATACAGTTGCAGAATTCTCCCCCTCCCCACTAGGAGGGGGTGAGAAGTATAGAAGAAGGAAGTATAAATATTTGTGCTAATCAAACTGATGATAGTGTGATGGATAGATAAACAGAGGTTCGGCATGAGGCCCAGAGAGCAGGCTGCTGTTGTTTTTTTTGGTTTTTTTTTTTCAGATTGTCCAAATCCCCCTTATTTATTGCTTTGCAGTTTCACTTGTTTGTTTTATTTTTTCCTCTTCTATGCTAGACCTAACCTCTTTTCTTTGAAGCCCTGTATAGCTTTGCTTTTATTAGCTTTCCTGTACTGCATACATTTCCTATGTGCAAGTAGAGTAAATGGGAGAAAGTTACTGTATTTTTTTTGCTTGCATTTGAAGAGAGCTTCGTAAAACGCACAACTATAGGGAGAAAAAGCACAGTGACTGTAAGGTGAAATTAAATGAACCAGGGCCAGGAAAGGAGGGATGCTGACTGTGTAAATCGCTATTCTAATTAGATTGCCATTAAACTTTAAATACCAAAAAAATGCAGCAGGATTTTTTTGCATTATTCTAGATCAATGAAGGAGGCATTTAGACTTTCCTGAACACCTGACCTATCCAAGACTGGAGACACCTTGTTGCTTGACTGAAAGATGTATTACTGCTTTGTGATAGGAATGCAAGACTGCTACAGATGAATCTTTTCATTGGTTTGTAAATAAAAAATAGTGGACTCCATTCCTCCTAAATCTGGAGGTCACCCAAATAACAGGTATAAACCGCGATAGATGTGGAGAATGAAGGAGAAACCACCTTGTGTCTCTGGTTGATTCCAGAGAGATGGTATAAAATAAACTAGAAGGAGAGAAATGTGACACATGGGCTGTTTTTAATAAATATTTCCTGATGTTTAAGAATTTGGCCTGGCTTTAGTGGTTTGGTTTGATTACTTTGACAGTTTGTAACTTTCTAGTGAAGTGATTTCTTCCTAGGCTAATTGTGCCTGCAAAAAAATAAAAAATAACCAGAAGTCATTTTATTAGGTGTGATCTTAAATTAGGCCAGGGAGAGGTATGGTTTTTGTGTGTTTTTTCTTAAGCTGCATGAGTGATTGTTTGCATCCTCTGCTGCCACATGGCATATAATCGGACCAAATAAGGAAGCAGCTTGCTGTTCTGCCTTTATGAGTGAGTAAAAGGGGACCTGCTGAGAGAATGAGCAATTGCTGTAGGGAGTAGTCAAAGGGAGTGTAAGTCTGGCAAGACCAAGTGGGAAGTATGCATTTGGATGGTCCGGTCCCATGCATGTTACTGTTCTTTTGCCTGTCCCTTATTCCTTGCATGTGTGAAGCCAGGCCTTTATTTATCAAGTTTTCTATGTATACCAAGTGTAAGACAGCAAATTAATGTTGTAATTGGAAGGAATGGGAATAGGATGAGGGGGTAACAAATAGGAGCAGAAGCAGGTGATCCACATGTTTTATTTGCATGGTTTAGAGATAGTGTCTTCATAGTCAAAAGGCAGAAATTTTCAAAGGGAGATTTGTAATCTTTAGGACCTGCCTCCTGAGCATCACTGTTCCTGTATGCTTCTCAGTGTGCAATATAGTGTAATGTGAAAGAGGGCAGAGTAGATGCATTCTGGAGAGTGCTGTAAATACAAATAGCTAGCAGAAGACAACAGGGGAAGCATGTTTTGAAAAGATCAGGCATCAGGATCACCTAAATTGCTGTATGTTATAATAGGATAGAAGAAAATTGCAGAGAGCTGGGGAGGAGGAGGGCAGTGTGGAGTGGTTGAATACCATTTTCGGTACCGCTTCTTCCAACGTGTCCACTGTTATGTTTTGAAGAATAAAGACTATGGAGTAACTTGTGATTAATGGTGAAAATGTTGTGGGATGTGAACCTTTTATCTTGTTTTCTGTCTAATGGCTGTACATGTTGCTATTATAAATGCGTATTGGTTTTTGATAAATCTAGTTTCAGTGAGTTCTACATTAATTGGCCATTGTTTAAAAAAAAAAAACCAACACACCTATCTTTTAGGGAAAAAAAGTTTTTAGAAGTTGTTTGCTTTGGAAAATAGTCTTTTTCTGCTTCAGCTGTGTCAGAGTGCATCCTGCATCTTAAAAACAACTTTTCACTGATTACAAGGCTAGATCAGTTTATTCACTCATAGCAGAATCTTATTTTTCTGGTGGTTGGGGAAGACAAGTGACTTTTGAAGAGGTTATCAAGCAAAAGCATACTGAAATGAAGTCAATAAATAGTTAATTCTGAATTCAGGTGGGTCCATAATCAGCCTTACTGGAGATAATGAGGTTCACCTCCTGTGGATTTTTGTCTCCTGCATAGCAGCTGTCTTCTATAGTTCAGTAGTTTGTGAAATGCAGTTATAATTGGAAGCATTTGTGTGACTTATATTGTTTTGCTCTGGCGTCAGCATTAATAATGTGATATTCAGGGTGAATAAACACCATTTAGATATTCAATACTCTTTAGTATTGTTATCCTTTGCATCGTTTTTATAGCAGCTATATTTTTCTTTCTTCTTGGTTTAATTTTTTTTTGTCTTCTGTTTGAAATTTTTAGTCTCCTAAGCATCTGTAGTTATCTGTAATTTGCTTTGCAGTATTGGCTAAAAACAAGGTCAATAGGACCAGGATCTGTTTTCTAAACTAATTGAGATCAGTTTGCAAGGTTTGACTGACAAATATATCTGTACAGTTTTTTCCCTGAACGGATGAGCTGCAGATGTCCTTATGTAGTAGCATATTAATTACAGTTAAAATAAGCATGTAACAGTTGAAACTACATGGATCCACCATGTTTTGATTATTTGTCTTGAGCCAACTGTTTTTCTTTTAAAACATCATTTTGCATTTGTGGGATTCAAATTTGCTACCTTGACTCCAGAAATGGACACCATTAGGCTTTTTAAGCAGACTTTTGTCTTTACAACACTGCTTCATGAAGGGTCCTCAGTTGTTCCCACCTGCTACTGATATAAGAGCATTCTGTACCTGGGTTCATTGGAGCACTGGCCTCCATCACCTGTTCTGTGTCTTCTGTCTCTTGTAAAATTTTATTTTTCTGACATGCTGGTGTAGGTGATAGTAGTCCCACTAAGTAGCTGCAGGACTGACGTGTTTAATGTTGTGCTGCTGTATTTTTAAGTGTGGGATATGTATTTCTGAGCTAGAAGAAAACCCCTAGTTATCTGGGGTTGCATTATTCCCTTTATAAGAAGGATAAACTAATGAGGAAAATGTTGGAGTTTTAATCTCACTTTTGCTATTTGTCTGCAGGTGGCAATAAAAATTATTGACAAATCTCAGCTGGATGCTGTGAATCTGGAGAAGATCTACCGAGAAGTGCAGATAATGAAAATGCTTGATCACCCACACATTATAAAGCTGTACCAGGTATGGTTAGCAGTGTCTTTTTTTCCCTTCTCCCCCCTCTGTCTTGCTCCCACATGAAGAGTTCGCTCTACACCAGTGACTTCTGGCAGATCACCAGTCCGTGACAAACTCAGCTTTTCTGCACTTGATTTGCATTGGATAAGTGTTTTAACTTTTTTGAAAGTAGATCAGTTGTGGTCTTCTTCATTCTATGGTACCAATTAGGCTGGCCGTGTTACATACTCAAGTGTACCTGTAGTCTGCTTAAAACACACAGAAGGTTGTAAATTTTATGTTAGTGAAAGAGCCGAGTTGGAAATACCCGGTGATGAGACTTTGCTGTCTGTTAGTAGACAAGGTACTATGTAAGCTAGAGCAGGGTAGGAATGTTCAGCATCATGTGTCTACAGTGAGTACTAGCTGGGAGGATCTGCTAGTGGATATAGTGGTTTTCTTTAGTTGAGTCTTGGCTCAGAGTGCAGGTTGAGGAGCAACTTGCAGCCTTTTTTCTTATCCGAAGGTAAGACGTGAGGATACGTTAGTCCAGATTCTGCAGATGTGCTTGTGATGTAAATGCATGCACCAAGCAAGAGGTTCCCAAACACTTTATCTTGAAGTGCATTTACTAGGAGATGGATAACTGTTCTTTGGACTTATTTTTGTTGGCATCTTGCATTTCACTTCTGTTGTGGATATGGACAAATTGATATTTATCCTAAAGTGAATTATGTATGTTGTGGAATTGAATGCATCCTCTTATAATATAAAGGATGAATAAGTATGGTACAACAATGTGTGTTTACACAACAGATAAACCTACACTTGTGATAATGCATACAATTGCAGACAATGAAAGCTTTTGAAGGTTTTTACTTGTGACTTTTTTTTAGTGTGCATAGTTTGTATAGGAAAAGATAGGCTTGTTTTATATTGTTTCTCTTCTGTTCTGTTTTCTGTTCCTGCTAGCATATGGTAAAATGTTTGAAGCTGCTGGCATTTCTGCTTCAGTTAACTCTTGCTTTTAAGGCTTTCCTGAGAATATTCCCTTTGGGGTGTGTTTGTTAGTGTTCTGTTTAACAAATCACATGGTGCTTCTGAGATACTCTCTTGCTTGTTTCAAATAAACCTAGCTCAACAAACAAATGAAGATTTGTGCATGCTAAAACCAAACTTTGAATTTAAGTTCATCTGACAACATCGATAAAGGCAATGTGAGAACAAGGACTTGGACCTATGGTGTTGGAGTTGTCCTAGTGAATAAAGATGAAGATCCCAGTTTTGACTACTTTAGCTTTAATTTCATCTTATGGGAAACAGACTGGCACTTCCTTTTTAAAATACCGATTCACCAAGTAGAGGCAGGCCTTAGGGAGTTAAATTTCTAACTGGTTTGAGTAATATCTACCACAATTCCTTCTGAATGAATGACAAAACACAAAAATGGTAGTCGAGTCTGAGAATAGTTAAATTAAGTCTGGAGATCAGCAAGATCACTTGACGAGGAGAGTAATTGTTGTGTAGTGCTTACCCCTTTACTATTAAGGGATTGGCTTGTTATAAATGCATTTGGTAGATAGGTGAGTTTATTTTTAAAATAGTCTTTAATCAAATTGTCTCACTAGTTTGCTTGTATAATGTGCCCACACTACAAGATTCTGAATTGTCTCATGTCAAGGAACTACTGAGGATTGTCGAAGTTAGGTAATGAAGGTAGCAATCTTGGCTTGATTAAGAATGGTTCCATATATATGTAATCCACAGGCTGTTGCAGCTTCCTGTCTCCAAATGTTGGTTTAAAACAGTCTTTCCAAACTGTTTTGCCTTCCAGATACAGACATTTCAGTCATAATATGCTCAGCTGTTGTGGTATTAAACAAGGGTGCAGGAGAGACTGAAGAACTGCCATCTTGTTCTGTCTGCTGGCTTGTCATTTTTTTGGTAATTCTGCTGTTTTTATAACTAACTGTCTTTCAGGATTTGCTTTTTTTTTTAAAAGCATTCCTCTAAAAAGAGTTTATTTGTGAGCATTCTTCTAGTACTTTCAAGCTTGTGCATAAATAAAATGCAAAAATCAAGTTCAAGAGGGTCTTGTCCGCAGACAGTTCAGGCTGAACTATTTTACTGTGGTTATGGAAATAGGCCCAAAATGAGTTGGGTGTTGAAATTGTTGTGTTGTACTGAAGGGAAGTCCTAAATGACTTCTATTTTGAAGTAGAGGATTTTTCATTTTCAGTGTATCTTTTGATTATGCTATTTGTACAATGCATTCCTAAGGAGCTGTTTAAGCAATTGAGGAGTAGATCATTAGGAAGAAAGCTGCAAGATAACTGACTGGGCTGCCTTTTCCCAACTTACATCATGGAAGTACGGAATTTTGAATTGTTGGGTGAAATCCTTCTGTTCAAGGCCATGAACAACTATTCATGGAAAAGTTTTAAGTCTTCCCCTTACTCTCCTTTTTTCCTGTTTATCTACCTCTATTCCTTCCAGCCTCCCACGTTTTTGAATTGTGAGTAGTCTGTTCTTGTAGTAGGAAGGCTGGAACTTACCAGAAGAGAAAGTAGAAGATGCTTGAAGTTTGGGGTTTTTTTTTCTCTCCCCTCCAGAGGATATATTGAGGATATGATAGTTCTGTAGCTGTACTGTCAGATTGTACAATGGGATCCTGTGATGTGGTGCTTTTACCTGAACTTTGCCAGGTTTTAAGACTGACGCTCATCTGTTTTTTTTCTTTTTTCGGTCTATAACTAGAGAACTGTTGGTAACAGAAGTCAGTATTATTCCCAGTCTTTCCCAAGCATGAACCATCAGCATGTTAAAGTTGAGCAAGGGAATTACTTTGGGCTGATTCCTTAAAGGAAAGTCTTTAAACTAGCTGCTGAGGATACTATCATTTTGTGTTAGTCACTTGTAGCTGAGAATCCTATCCACCACCTTCTCTGTACACTGGCTTTATGAAGTATTTAAAGCTTATCCTTGTGCTTAGCATGCAGATGCTCCCCTTGAAATTGTTGAGGTAACTTGAAAAAATGATGTGAAAGATTGTGATAACTATATGTGCAAGGCAAAGACTTTCACATCTTTAGCAGAAGAGAATGCTGAAAATAATATCCATTTGGGGGTGTGTTTGCTTTTTGCTCTTCCCGCAAACAATCTCATGTGCAATTTCTCCATCAACAGGTGATGGAGACCAAAAGCATGTTGTACCTTGTGACAGAATTTGCCAAAAATGGAGAAATTTTCGGTAAGCAAGAGAATATTTTCATGTTCAACAATTTAATGTTAACTTCTGAAGTTTGTCAATTGTATTTATTTTACCCAAGGATCCCTTTTACTGTAATATATCCCTTTCCCTTATTTGTTAAGAAATGTGTGATAACTGTCACTGTTTCTCATTTTTGAACTAAGAACGTTAGGGAAAACTGTTAAAGTGTACACTAGCATAAGAAAAAAGTTAAAAGTTACTAATGTTCCTTTAGCAGAAGACATAGCTTGTTAAACAGAACAGTGCAGGATAAACTCTCATCTCAGCGGACAGAATTACCAGGTTTTCAGCATTGAGTTGTGATGAAAAACTATATTTAAATGTTCAGCCTGATAATGAACAAGTGGCCCAAACAGTATTTCAGTTAAACTGAAGAATCTGTTTCTTGTGCAGTTATGTACTGATATGTCACACATGATTCTTTAATATGTTTTCAGGAAGAACATGGTGGGCAGGAGGGGGTGTCAGGGTGACTTGGAGTAACGCTCATAATAAAAATTTTAGGTTGTCTGTGTTTGACCTGCATGGTCAAATTCACATTAATTCTTCTTCTTTGGCTCAAATTCATCACTCAAGCAGGACTGCAGTGTTAAATTTGTATGAAATACAGTATTTTTTTTTAGTTGTAATACTTCACGATGCACCTTTTTTGTTTTGTAATGCTCAGCTTGGACTACAATAGACATCTCATTCTATTTCTTTGGAAAAAGTTGTTACTTAAATCAGTGCAGGACAATTGTAGTATATAAATGTTCTGAGCAAATGACACTTCACACTTGCCCAGCCCTCTTTTAGTGTACATGATCACTCAAAGTGCGGAACAGTAGAGAATCCTTCAGTATTTTGAAGGACCAGAAGAATTAAGGAAGCTTACTACATCTTAAAATCTGCTGCTAATGATTATGTGGAAGGGCATTTGTGAAGTGGCTGTGCGTCAGCCTTTACTCTTCGCAAGGGCAATGGAGTGAATACTAAAAGTCATTCCACGCTCCTGAGACTTGTGTTCTAGTATTGAAGGTGATTCCTGCACTCTCTCCCTTCTTGATTGTGGTAACGGCCACAGTAAAAAAAAATCCTCTACGTACATGCAACACAGACCTGGTTACGGCAGGCTGGTTGTAGCCTTCGAGCTCTCCTTCAGCGTAGTTTGAATAACTGTCATAACTAAAAAGTCAGGTTTATGGCATCTGCTCTGCCATTGTCTGTTCTCTCTAGGGCGTTTTGTCTTCTGTGATTGTACTGTGCATACACGTCCCAAGTTACTGTTTGAGGTTTTTCTAAGCTATTGAGGGTAGGGTAGCAGTGAAGTCCTCTCAGGGAGGGACAGGCTGAATTTTTTCCCAGAACTGGCTATATATAGCAGTACTCCTTTTTAGGCCACAAAGTGTCACATTTTATACGTTTCTTCTAAGTAGTTAAATGCATTTAATTTTGACCTGTGTTAGTGCCTTTAACTTCAAAATGTGCATTAGTGATCAAAGTAAAAATGCTTTTTTCAGCTCTTGCACATGCGACAAGATTTGGGTGAGCCTGTGTTCTTCTGACCAAAGATGAGCTTGCTATTCATAAACTTGTTTGAAATGGTTGACAACCTGCAGAATAGCAAGACAATGTCATAGTAAGGCTGGGATGATAAACTACCAAGAATGTTACTCCTATTTCTGTACACAGCATATTAGCATAGGTCTGTTTTGGGGCCTGGTAACCTTTGAATATCTTGTGCATTTCTCAGGAATGTGGGTTTGGTTTGTTTTTTGTGTTGTGTTTTTTCTCTGAAGGAACAGCATGATTTGCTTTATGCTGATTACCATCTGGAAACATTGAATAAGAAGAAAGGGGATTCTGTTTTTTCTCACCTTCTAAGCTGCTGTTCTCAAACCAGTGCTAATCTTGAAGCCTAGCCATGAGTTGCAGGCTGGCCTACAACTTAATTTTTTTTTCCTTCTGAAATCTTTCTATTCATCTTATTACTTGCCTTGGGAACTACAACATTGGAGGTTGTTTATCTTGCAAGATTTGTATCCAGACTTGCATAAGTGATTAGCATAAGCCAAAAATCTCTCTAAAAATTACCTTTGTACCTACATCAGGTTAAGTTTGTGTATTTTGCGTAGTTTTAAGGTTTCATATATGAAATGTTCTCAGTACTCAGTCAAGATTCTATAACTATTAAGTTGCATTTATGTTACCAGAAGGTTTTTTTTGCTGCCGCTTTATGTGGGAAAGTGAGGTGGTCATAGGGAAAAACAAATTAACAAAAGGCAAAAAGATATAAAACTTTAATCAGCATGGCTAAAGATTCTAGAAGTAACTTGGATGGTGACTCTTTTTGCCTTCTTATTTGTCTTGGCTTTAATGTGTCTCATTTCCTGTAAAACTTTCACTTAAATTCTTGGTTCATTCTGAAGAAGCGAAGCCTTTTGGGCTATGAGACTTTCCCTGTTTGCAGATCCTTTAATGTTTGTTTCAGACGCAGTTTAGCTAATTCTCTGAGACCTTGTTTTCTCATTAAAATAATTAAGGAATCTTTCTGGGTCCATTATTAGAAACTTAATGTATCTATACAGGTTTTTACTAAATTAATCATTTTTTTCTGATTTATTGGAATGATTTCTCAGAGTGGCTTTTGTAATTAAGGATGGGATATTCTGCTGTTGTATGTATTTGTCACTGTTACATGTTTTTGGAGGAGGAAGCAGAAATGAGGTAACAGCAGAAACATGTTAGAATTTCAGAAGGGGAAAAAAGTCTCTTCTGGGTTTTTCTGCAGGCTCTCAGACAGAAAGTACACTACAACGGTAAGTGGTAGGTGAAGAGCAAATGGTCACCGTCTAGTAATATGTAATAACAATTTTGTTTTAAGTTTGAATGGTACCCAGGACAATGGGTTTATTTTCCATGGAAGAGTCTAGCATGTCCTAGTAGAGTAACAGAAGAAAGGAACAGAAAAATAGCAGAGGAGCAGAAATATTCTCAAAGGTAAAGAAAATCTTTGTAGCTGGAGTATTTCATACATAGCAGGTACTGTTGCTTTGTTTAGGAATTGGACTGAGGTGTTAAAGTAACAACCTTTCTTGCTTAATAAAAGCTAGTTTCATGAGTTTTATGCTTGATACCCAGGCACTTAAGAGTTTTTACATGCATTTTAGTTGCAATACAAAATCGGAGTCGCTGAGAAAGCTTCTCTGAAACTCAGTCATCACCACCAGGCAGAATGAACTCAGAGGGCAATGGAATAGAGTTCAGCATGTGGAGGGCCCTGGTGATTGGAGTGCTCAAGAGGTGGAGCCTGGCCAATCTTTATTTTTTACACTGGGGGGTGGGGGGATGGATTTCATGGAAACAGAACTCAAATGTTCAAAGTCCCTTCTTGTTGCCTGGGTTATCTTCCCCACCACCACCACCTTTTAAGTCCTTATCGGACTGCTTGTGTCATAAGCAGAATATCGTGTGCTGGGCAACTTTGATGTAACTGGAAAGTAGAGAAAAGCAGGGTAGTATTTAAAAAAACCAAAGAAGTAGAAAGAAGACTCAAACTTCATGAGCTGTTCCTTCATCCTGTCCTGATCCTTCTTTGGGTGTATTGAATTTGCCATGTCAAGTCTAACAATGTGTGAAATAAAGTCTCCCTTTTATAACATTAGTTTTCAAACAGCACAAGTAGTGGGATGCTCTTCCAGAGTCCTGTACCCAAGTGTCTTCAAAGTTTCTAACGCTTTGCCCTGCGCGATCCTGCTTTTTGGGGGATTTTACTTTGTTTGTTTTCTCTTGTAAAGCAAGATGGTTAGAAACCTGTGGAACCTGCTGTTTCTTTAGTTAATCAGTCTCCTGACAGCATTTAAGTATTGTGCTCTGTTTTGTTCTTTGACTAACCTTTGATTGCACTTGAAGGGGGGCTTAAACAACAAAGCAACCAAAACCCAAACTAACTTGCTCTAGGTTTGTAGCAAGAGCAGCTTATTTAAATTTTTACTCAAAAGCTACTGAGTTGGGAGAAGTATAATGAGAAAGACAAACTTCAGTCTATTGGGGCTGATCTTCCTGTATGTTCCTTCTGTAATCAGTGAGGAATGAGAGGCCTCTCAGGGGGCTGGTTCAGAGCTTTGACTCACCCTCCAGAGGAGCCTCTTTCTTCTCTGAGTACGGGAGGAGCTGAGAGAGATTAGACTCCCTAGGTTGAAGGTAGCCTTTGTGATAGCTCTTCTGAGTAACTTTCCTACTCAGTGATGTACAAAATCTGTGAGAGTTTATAGAAGTCCATTTTCTATCTTCCTCTTGAAAAAGATAAAGAACATAGCATGCTCTTCAAGATGGTTGTCAGTAGTTGGTAACTGGTAAATGTTCTTTTAATGCCATGTCAGGCTTTCAAGTTCACTGTGAGTAGCCTGGTATTAAACCTCATTGAGTCTTTTCAGCTCTGCTAAACCATCATTTCATAGTGCTGACTGGTAGTTCATGGACAGGATTATTTTTTAACCCCTGTATTAATGTTCTTCACTGTCTTCATAGCTTTGAAATTTTCCATACTCAACAGCAGTTTTGAATTTGCCTTTCGCCAGTTAATGTCACTGCAGTAAATAATGTGTTTAGTCTCGACACTTCAAATGCTGTTACACTTTAGATTTGTTTTTTAAAAAGGTCTTTAGGCTTAATAAAACATTTGAATTAAAAAGGTTTCAGTTGTGCTTAATAACTTTACAGATCTACGAAGTTTTTAACTAGCTGCTTCTGCTGTGTTTTTAAAAGTATCTTTACAGCCACCATCTTGTAACCTTCTTCAGCATCCCTCACCTGAAGTCTCTAAACCAGCTGAGATCACAGAATCATAGAATAGATGCAAATTATCTGTTAGCTAAACTAACTACAGTGAACCTGTTCTGAAGGACTAATTCTCTAGCTTCTCATCAGTGACTGTTTATATTACAAGAATTCAGACTGCGGAGGGGGAAGCTGACTATTAAACCTAAAAGCGATGTCAC